GAGGACGACTTGGAGGAAAAAGTGAAGGGTCAGGTTAAGCCTTCTGATGGTGATTTTTTTTTAGCTTAGTCAGTATTTATTATGGTGCCAGATTTACTAGGATCAGTAGACAGGGTTTCACTAGACCATTACAGACAAGGACTGTGTTTGTGTGTGGATACAAAGAGGGCTTCATATCCCATTTCAACCCCTCCCCACTTTTCCAGCCATGAAGCTGGACTGTCTGTTGTTTGTTTTACTAGAGGCCAGGACTAGACAGTGTGCCTGATAATGTAGTCAAACAGCATCATATTGAGTTGCTGTGTACATGTAAATTCAGAAAGATATGATTAATAAGATAGTTGAATAGAACATCTTTTCTTGTATCTGTTTAGAAAAAAATCAGGTTAACTGTTAAAAAAAGAACTATGTACAATATTTTATTTGAGTTTTATTGTTTTGCTTAACTAGTCCTTAAGACTAAAATTACAGTAATTCTAGATTTGTTTGAAGATCGCGAATCACTTATTTCATTCCACGACCCACACAGTGTCGTCCTCATACCCCTGTCCAGGCAACCACTCCAACTGTACAGCTTTGCCTTTGACACATGGAGAGATGGTGCGCCTGGATGAGGGACGCTTCCCAGCCCTGGAGCTTAACAACAGACGCCTCTCTGTGAAAAACTCCTTTTGCCGCAAGAATGGCATCTACACACGGTCAGTCACTGTCACTGTAAAGTCACTTGCCAGTCACTTATTTGTCCTGCAGGCAAAAATTCCACTTCATACAAATATTGTTAAGTGAGTTTTCTCTAAGTTTCCTCTTCCAGTTGAGTGTGTTACTGATACTGACTGGAATAAATAATGTAGTGTTGTGTGTGTCCCCCTCTTCCCTCACAGTAGCCTGTCAGTCTTGAGAGAACAAACCAAGCCTCGAGGAGCTCAGCTGCTGATTTGAACCTCCTTCTGCTCCCCTCATTGATATTCAGAGTTTGTGCAAAGCAACAATTTGTATAAGGAGATAGCACAATACCAGCTAATTAGCATTCATGAGCTTCTGCGTGGGCTCTTTGTCTGTCCATCACCACTTTAGACAAAGGGTGCTTATGGGTCAGAGTCGGCCATTTTCGTTTGGCCTTGATTCCAGAGTTCCTTCTGAAGTGCTGGGCTGTGAGCGCTGTCACAACATAAAGTACAACGCTATCAGTATGAGAGCATGTCCTTCTGCCTGTTAGCAGGACTTTGGCAAGAGTTCTTTGATAATGTTTAGGTAAACACTAGATAAGAGGAATTTTGCAAACTGCAGCATGAGAGGAAAATGGAATGTATAGACACAGGTCATGCATTCGGTGGCTGGATGGATGTCGTATGGTTGTTAGTGGATGAAGGTTCAGAGTCTGCTTCTTGTCACAGCACAAAAAGATGTTCATTTTTGCGCATTAGTGTACACACTTTGTTGGAATGAGGTGCAGAAGGGGTGCATCAAGGGCAAGGGAATCTGTTCTGTTTTCCCTTTGACCAAGGAAGGCCAGAATCAAAGGGCCTTGAGATCCTCCCTCCCTTTGAAGAGCTCCAGTCGGGTACTGTACTCTTTGCTAATGATCTGTGGGGTGGGGGTGGGGGTCCCTAAAACTCTTAAATAATTCAAAGCTCACTGACAGCATTTTGTGTGAATTGTGATCAGTAGCATGATCCATTGCCTCTCCCCTGTGCTCACATGGCCCCATCCTTTTAAAGTCTAACTCAACCATGCCTGAATTCTAAGTAGGTGGTTTTTTTGTCACAGTTTACCCGTTCACATCAACCCTTTAACCCAGAGATGTCCCTCTCTTGTGTCATCCCTTTCATGGCCGTTGTCATGTTGTTGCTTCTTGGCCTCCAGTTCTTGGCATTCCCAATGATTTAGCTCCTGCATATATTTAAGTACATATTAATTTTTACTTGAAAGGCTGTCAAGGTTGACTTCTTTATGCCTTAATATTGCACTTGACATCACAGTTTTATGGTTATCTGCTCTGCCTCCACATTCATTTTCTATTTTAGATCTTTTGAACATTTACTTTTATGCCACTTGTAGTTTATATAATTCTTTTTTTTTCATAAACCAACTGAGCAAACTGTGCTTAATGGGTGTTATGCCCATTGATGTAGCTCAGCAATGTAGTGGTCTAGTTTAGGCCCCGTGACTATCCGATTCAATCTCAAGAGACCTTGAACACAGCAGCAGTTATTACTGCAGAGATGAAAAATAATTGTCTGCACAGATGTTTCTCTCTGCTTCACTTCATGGACTTAATGACTGGAGCCAACAGGAGTTAGGGGTCTTTTTACTTGACCTGCTTTTATAAAAGAACTTTATAATACTTTGCTGAGCTCAGAGCTGTTTAGATCTCCTGCAGCTTTTCCACAAGAGATCTAAATTGCTGCCTGACTCAAACACTACAGTCATTGAGCTCTAATGACCACAATGAATCATTTCACGAGGATGCTTATACAGTATGTTTTTATACAGAATCCTATTTGGGGTGCAGAGCTCGGCCCCTGCCAGTCCTCCCAACAGAGATCAGAAGGAAACAGCAAATGATTTTAGCCAAAATAATCTTGTCCCTGCACCGTGTAGTAATGGCTTCCAGGCATGTGCAAATATCTCAGTCTGTGCTTGTCTGAAGTAAGCTATCTTTTTTTCCTATAATCAATGAGTGTATGCCAACTCTATGCGTGTTGATCCCACTGAAGCCCCTGCAGAATGTGAAGCGTCTTCATTTCTAGAACTGTGTCGCAGGCTTCGTTAGTCATCTGAAGCGTGTCAGTCACAGGAATGACAGGGCTTTTAATGTTTACTCACATGTGTTCTCAAAGAGGAGAGAGAGCTCTAGAATTTCCCAGAGGGAAACATAATCATGATCAATTCAACCTTTTTTTAAAATTACATCACTATTAGTTCTTGCAGTTTATTTATTTGCTTTCTATCTCTCACAGATACTTTGTCTCCTTTTTTCCTATCTGTCCAGGTCTCCACCAAGACCCAGCCCTGGAAGTCTGCACTACTCAGATGAGGATGTTAGCACTAAGTATAATGACCTGATCCCAGCAGAGAGCAGCAGTCTGACTGAAAAACCCTCTGAGATATCTGACTCTCAGGTAGACACTGACTCTGGCTTGGGGCCCATATCCACTTCGTCTGGAATAGGCAATTGACTTAAATTAAAATAAATGCATAAATTCAACAGTTTGAATTTTTCAACAAAGTCCTCTGGGGAAAAACATAATCTTTCCAAACTCAAAAATACTCACTATATTCCCCGTCCTTTTGCTTTTGTGGCATTCATTGTGTATCATCTTGAAGACCTCTGTTTTTGTGTCATAATCGCTGCTTATCTAGATAGAAAAACCAGACATCTTTCTAATTAGTAAGCAGCATTTTGGAGACTAAATTAATGATGGTCCACAAACCAATCTGCCATAAGTGGATCACCTCAAATTAAATATCCTCTGTTAGTGTAGTGTAGTGACATCTCTGGATCTGAGCTTAAATGCTGATTTTTCCCTTGGGAAGGAAGTATGGGGCTAGTTCTCATGTATCATGTGTCTTGAAACATCTTCACTACTAATTATTTTCGTCAAACAGGAAATGTCATGTTAATCAGGGCTGCTGGGTCTCAGCACTTCATGTGATGATCTGAACAGCTGAGTGTATGTGTGAAACAAAGAGGTCCAGTGAAGAGACAGGGTGGTTAGAAGTGACGAGGGATGATGGACACCAAAAGCACAGAAGTTCATTGTAGCAGATGCTGCACATCTGTCTTTCCATACTCACTTTGGGTTTCTCTGACCAATTTATGTGGCACCTGCACAGTCAAAACATTGTTCAGCCTAGTCTGAACAAACACTGCTCTCCTGGGAGACACAAACTGGTGTTATTATTTTCCTCTGCATAGCCTCCTACTGTTTACCTGCCACTTGTGCAAATAAATGGTGCTGCAGCATCTGTTAAGCTGTAATGTCTCAATAGAGCAGTAGATGGGCAAGCATTTGTCCACCACACAAATGTGCCAAGCCTGTAGTGTTTTCTGTGAGAGTAATATGCTCTTTTTTTAAGTGTTTGTGTCTCAGCTGTTATAATGTGTGCTGGAACAACAACAGGATTCGCCCACACAAACATTTGTCACGTACAAGTCTGTTGGCTTGCAACAAAAGCAAATTAATTCTGTAAACATTGTCTCTGTCCAATTCCAGGACACTCTTGTATACACTTATCACGGCTGTGCTCCACAGAGCTATGGGTGAGCTCTTATGTCTGAAAGATACTCAGTAGAAGTGGTTATCTACCCCACAGAATTGCACATGGATTAATAAATTTCTAGTTGTCTCTCAGTAGACATTCCCTGCTGTGTTATGTCTCAGTATTGTGCAATTTGTCAGTAAGGGTGCAACAGTAGAATTAGCTTGGATTTGTGAGCCTGTGTCATTATCTCTGCAGTTGGCACCCTAAAAGTATGCTTTTGTTTATTTTACTACACACTATTTTGTAACTATAAAACTCTCATCTATCTCTGTTTCATCACTGACTCACAGGGCAGCGACAGCGAATATGAGATGGATCAGAGCCGGCAGAAGACCCATTCCTTCGTCAACCACTACATTAGCGATCCCACCTACTACAACTCCTGGCGGCGGCAGCAGAAGGGTGTTTCTCGTCCACCAGCATACGGCTATGCCCAGCCCGAGCCCCTGGTGGAACAGGAGGCACGGCAGCACCCCCCTCCTGTGCCACCTCTGCCCCCTCTCCTCCCACAGAGCGCCATATCCCCACAGCCCCAATGCCAAGGCCAGGGTACTCTGTTCAGGCCTAAGAGAAGCCGGACTCCCACTCCCTCCCTGCTGTCCTCTGAACCCCCTAGCCAGCACAGTACCCTTTACCGGCCCCCCAGCAGCCTGGGTTGTGCCACTCAGGCACCAACCGCAGGCTTCTCCTCTTTTGTTTGACACACAGTTTTCCTTCCAGTAGCAACAGGACCCTGAAGATGAGTCTGATTTTGTTGTTGTTGGTTTATTTGTATTTTGTTTTGTTTTTTTGCCTTATGTCTGTTTTATGGCTGAATATCAAGCATTGCAGGCATCTTCAATAGCGCTTTCTCCTCTGTGATGAGTGTGAGTGTATGATTGTGTGTAGCACATATGGTTGGTAAATCCATGTGTATTTTATGAAAAGACAATCATTTGAAAATGTATATACGTTGCTTAAGTAAATTTGTTTGGAGGTTCAAATATGTAAACAAGGGATAAACAGAGCCTGAGGTTCTGAAAAAAGAAACCCTTGTTTTTAAAATACTGTATTATTAATATGAGAGCTTTATGGAAAAAAACAACCACCTTAGGGCCCTAGCTTGCGGCAAACACATGGCGTGCACGGCAGGTAGTATGCCTGTTTCCTAATTTCCTACGTGCACAGTTACCTTTTTCAAGACATGCACATCACATTGCCTTTTTACCAAGCAGCAGTCTGTTGACTTGGCACCTGCAGGTGTGTCCAGGTGAAAATGGGGTGTGTTCGGGTAAATTTTGGGCATGATGGTAATCAAATTATCATTACTGTTTAATGGGCACTTTGACTGTGTTGTGCTGCACCCCTGTCTAGGTGTGTGCACAATGCTCATGCACTTGTTATACCCTGGGATGTGCTGCACAGGACACGTAAAACGTAAAAACTAAAAAGATGACATTAAGTTCATTGGGTGCTGTGCACACCAATATATATATTTTAATAAATGCCATTTTGATTAGTAACCGTGTGCCTTCACCTCGCACACGAGCAGATCTGTTTCCTCAGTAGAAAATCTGACCTCCGACCTGGCAAGTCCGCCAGTATGCTAACAAGCCACCAAAAGTTCAAACTCACACATCTCTTAAAGGGCATGTGAGGTTACACACTGACTGGATAAAACACACCCTGCTTTAATGAGGATCAAGCACAGCCCTTTTGCTACTTGTATGGGCGCTTGAACCCTTTTCCTTATTGTCAAATTGCTGAAATTAACATGGTCACAGCCGAACATCACTTGCGCCAGTACATCTTGATCAGACGCAGTGGATCCTCAAAATAGGGCCCTTAGAGTCATTTAGAGTACAGATCACTTGGCCTGCTGAGACTCAACTCTGGCTTATGAGAAGGGCACCAGTGGTCACTGTGGCCATCGGTTGCCTTTGGCTTTTTCACTCCGCTGAATCATTGTTGGAACTACATTATGTGTTAACTATGTACATGTCTCATTCTTTATCAGATATTTATATCAATCAGCTTCAAGCTCAACATTTTCAGAACATCACTAGTGACAATGTTATGAATCACATTAAAGCATTGTGGCACTTTTATATTAGTCTGGGGAATGTGTTAATTGTGTGCTGGTAATCATGTTAATAGATATACAAGCTAAAATGTCTTTCTTAATGTGCATCTGTTTGCTTTTATGTTAATCACAGAATATGGCTGTGGACCAAATGCACAAATCATTTTGATTCAAATGATATTATCCACATCATATCAAGCATTATGGTATTAATAGCTGTCAAAGAAGTACAAGAATAATCCATTTTGATCCTTTTGCTAAAACATAAAGAACATTAGTAAAATGTGTCATGAATGAGCAAAGTAGATCTTCTCCAAGTTTACCAATAAACCATCTTGTTGAGACTTATGAAAGTAACTAAACCTAAAGCTTTTTCACTGCTGCATTTCAAGAATGCAATGCATTTTGAAGAATATGCTTCTGTGACAATATTACTGGAAAGATCTGACTTGAAATTGTTCACGTACAGACAGTAAACTTTCAAAATAATAAAACTTGCATTATGTATTTTCTAATCTCAATTTGTTTGTGAGGATGAAGAAATTAGCTCACAGTAGTTGTGTCTGTTCATTTAAAAAGCTTTATTTTAAGGGTGGACAACAACAGGACACAAATATTGTACATTTGTCATGTGGTATTATGTGTTCAACATGTTACAGTGTAACATGGTATTGATATGATGACAGAAAAGCATTTTATGCTCACAGTACATACTGTACATGTACATATGTTATGATGACATGTTTTCTACAGCACTTTTGAATATGCTGGTTCTTTTCAAGAGTTGGACACTCAGTGTATAAACTTAGACAATTGATCTTCAAGGTTCAGAAATTACATTTGTCAAATTTCCAGTGTGAATTTCACTGTATTCATTATGAAAGAAACAAAATGGACCTATTCATGGTAGCTCTCTAAAATAAATTATTCTATTTTGTAAAGGCTTTTTCTCCTTGCCTCATCTGAATATTTTAGACTATTAAGGAATTTTATGCAGAATAATATAGACTGGCAATAAGGTAGTGATTTATAATTTTGACATGAGACGTCTGGTAAAACTTTTAATTCAAGCCCCTGTAGATGACTATTTTACAATGACAGTCCTATGTAGTTTTATTTGTATAGTTGCGAAGACAATGTGATTATCCTGTAGGTGACTCTTGATCCTACAGGGCAGACCTGATTCTCTCAGTCACAAAAAAGCCATAATTGGGATGTATGAGAACACGAGTTACAGGAAGAATTTGGAGAAGATCTGATGCAAGCATGATGAAAATCTGGGGAGGGTGGGAGTGTGTGCTGGATAAGCTCCTGATTTCAGGCTGGAAAACATTGATCCTAGGGGATGAAAAGCGGGATCAGGCTGGAAGGTTTTATGAAAAATGAGGAAAACAAAAAAGTTAAGTAAAAGGTATAGATAGCTGTTGTTGGAACATCTTTATTTACCACCATCAAAACAATCATAACAAACCAAACAAAAAAAGGCAGAGTAAATCCCATTGAAAACACTGTTCAATTCACAACAGTGCATCACCTCTGGGGTTCTGGATTGCTGGGTTATAGTTACATTTCAGTAATGAGGAAAACTGAACTTATAGGTTTCCTGAAAAGTATTCCCTGGTACAGTGTCTGCTAGTGCAAATATCATTCATACCACAGGCATATGGCAAATATATTTTGTTTGTTTGTTGTTTCTGCAAGAAAAACTAAAACTCAGTTTTAAAAATTAAATGTAACTGCTCTGTAATATTTAAATAATTGTATTTTGAAACTCAAAATTATATTAATTATGACTCACTGCAAAAAGCTAAGCAGAAGTAGCTAAGCAGGTGGGGCGACTGTGGTTCAGTGGGTGCCTGCAGTCCATATGTCAAAGTGTCCTTGGGAAAGACACTGAACCCCCCCGTTGCCCCCGATGGTTAGAGCCATCCGTGTGAGTTGGTGCCAGAGATGGCTGCCTCAGTTCTGTACCGGAAACAAATTCCTTGTGTGTAACATACTTGGCCACATAAAGTGATTATCCTGTTCACAGACACTCATTCACATTTGCAGACAGCTGCAGCATCACATGAGCAGTGGATCAAGCCTGATTGCTTCAGTGTCTCCTCATGGGCCCTAATTCTGATTGTGCTTGTTGGAGTGCATCAAAGCACATATGCAACAAAGCTAACAGCTTGACTGATGACTGCAAAATTAGGACTAAATGATATAGACTACCAGTCAAAAGTTTGAACTCACTTCCCCGTTCAAGTCAGTGGGAAAGTGTGCCCATACTTCTGCATGATACAGCAGGAAATTAGATCTTTGAGAGAGTTTTGATTTAAGCAACAGTTTGTAAAAATGTAGTCTCCTGGTTTATCATATTTCACTTGCTAACAAGAATCATACATTTATTACTGCACTGTCAGTTCAGGCATCTTAATAACAGTCAGGACTGTAGTGTGGTCATCAAGTCAATAAACTTTGAGTCCGAGTTGGCTTTCAAATGTTCCAGTCCAAATCAAGTCAGAGTCACCAAAGAATAGTTGAGTCTGAGTTGAGTCCTCGTTCTCTGAGTGATCAAGATCTGTAAGATCTGTAAGATCTGTTAAGGGGTTAAACACAATTGACACAGCTCTCACCATTTTAAAAGGAATTTACTTACTTTGTGTGACACAACAGCCAAAAAAGCACTCGTAAGCAGACACACACACACTGTTTAGAGGTGAACAGCATGAATATCAGTGTCAGTATCTTATGCCAAATTATTATGGCTTATTACTAAAAAGATAAGTCTAAGTCCTTGTCACCAACTTCTGAGTCCAAATGCAGTCAACGCTCAAGTCTGAGTCCAAGCCCAAGTCATCACTGCTCAAATCCAAGTCGAGTCACGAATCCTGAAAATCAGGACTAGAGTCGGATTTGAGTCAGAGTCCAGGACTTCAGTATTACTACACTTAAGGTCAGTCTATAAAAAATAAAGCTATGTATCATAATCCTAGTTTTTCTTAGTTGGACTCAGACCTGGTGTCCCAGATTACAGACCATTTCATGGAGAGAGCTCAGTATGTCAGGCTGAGGGGTTGCACTTCAGAGACGGTGGTCAGCAGCACAGGAGCACCACAGGGGACAGTGCTCTCCGCAGTCCTATTCATGCTGTACACCACAGATTTCAAACACAACTCAGAGCTGTGCCACACACAGGAGCCTGGTGAAGGACTTTGTGGAATGGCACAAGTCTAACCACCTGCATATTAACACCTCCAAAACCAAAGAGATGGTGGTAAACTTCTGGAGGCCCAAAGCCCACCTGAGGCCAGTGTCGATCGAGGAGGCCTGTGTAGAGGTTGTCCAGACCTACAGATACCTGGGTCTGGAACTGGATGAAACTGGACTAGTCCACCAGCACAGATACATCGTATAGGGATGGACAAAGCCGGCTGTACTTCTGAGGAGGCAGGGGTCCTTCAACATCCACAAAGCTGCTACAGATGTTCTACTAGTCTGCCATCGCTAGCATCCTTTTCTGTGCTGTAGCGTGCTGGGGAGGCAACATTAAGAAGCGAGATACCTTGAGTCTGGACAAGCTGGTGAGGAAAGCTGGCTCTGTCGTGGGTCCAGAGCTGGACTCTCTTACATCTGTAGTGGACAAGAGGACCCTCAGTAAGCTGCTGTCCATTCTGGATAATATTCATCACCATCTGTGCAGCACCATCACTAGGCAGAGGAGTTCAGTCAGCAGTAGGCTGCTGTCTCTCTCCTGCTCCACAGACAGACTGAAGGAGTTGTTTGACCCTCAGGCCATACGACTCTCCAACTCCTCCCAATAAGGAGGTCTGATCAGGACATAGATATGTGATGTCATTACTCATCTCCACAATATTATGATTCCACTTCATAATGACATTATACTACTGCACTGCACATAGTTTTTACCTTTTTTTTTTTTTTTACCTTTGCATATAATGATTATTCTTGCACATATTGGCATTTGCAAACAGGTACTTTATGCACATTTACTTTATTATGTATTCCTTATGTATATGGTATACTTGATACACTCAATATATTTATACTTTTTTAATACTTATACTTATTTTTTGTATTTTAGACTTACATTTTTATACCTTTCTTTATTTTGGTGTGCTGTGATTTTGGTAACTGTTGCGGTTGCTGGTGGATACCTGAATCTCTTTCAGGATCAATAAAGTATCTATCTATCTATCTATCTATCTATCTATCTATCTATCTATCTATCTATCTATCTATCTATCTATCTATCTATCTATCTATCTATCTATCTAGTTTTGTGGACATGAGCAAAGTGCTCAAATAGGTTCTATTTCCAAGACAGCATGAAATTCACATGTACTTGTTCTACAGATTAAGACTGCTTTGCCATGGCATTTAATGGCCACTTCCACCCACCTGTCATCCACGTCATCCATACAGAGCACCCCAATAGCCAAACGGTCACGGTGCAGTGTCCCATATGCTCGGGCGCAGTATATGCATGACTTCAACGGATCAAGCCTGATTGCTGACTCCTGTGGCAAATCTTTGCCTCTTATTTCCTGTCCACCTCTCGTTGGCCATTTATATATATATATATAAATAAATAAAGGCAAAAGTGCCCCCAAAAAATGAACTTACAAAAATGCTAGAGGTCAGTCTTCCTATCAATACATATAATTTGTAGGCTTACCAGTAAAGCTTTATATTACTTTGCACCCTCTGCTATGAAATAAAACATAAGACTGATAACAGACCAGTCATGTTTGAGCAGTCCTCAATCTATTCCAACACTGAGGATAAAAAGGCTGAAATATTTACATGAAACAGCTCCTCCTGGATCTGCTGACACCAGCAATAGCCATGTTGAAAAGATACACAACACTAGATTCTGTAAACCTTTGCCAAAACTCCAAAGTGAAAGTTGTGGATGATTAAAGGTGTCAAATGCTCAGTCAAGAAACCTCAACACCTGACTCACCAAGCATTACTGTAAACAGATGAAAAAAATCCAGACAGCTTAAGACTTTGTGAGAATGGACTTTTTGAAGATCAAAGATGTAGAGAAAAAACAAGTTCAGGCAAAGGCTGAGGCTGCACTAATATCCTTGTTCGATGTTCGACTGAACAGAGCTCTCAAAGCTGCCAATGGTTATCTGAGGAGTGGATATGTCCAAAACGTAACATCAAATCTGAATGCAGCATGAGCCTGCAGTCAAGGCCACTGTAAGTCAGTTTCTTTTCATAAAGAGCCCTGTTTTCCCAGCAGCTGGTGGGAGAATCATACTGGGAACATAGCCAAAGGAAGGGATGAAAAACTGAAAGTGTATGATGCTGACACTCAGGCCATGCTGGTCCTAACAATATGAAATAACAAAGATTCCTTTAGGATTTGCAAGGATATGCTAACACAACTAAATGGCTGTAAAAGACAAATGTGAAGAGTCATCTTGTCCAGGTGGTCTAGGAAAGTGAGGTTTGCCCTTCGATAATTATCAGCCATTCACACATTCCTTTCTCCTGAGCTCAGGATGATCGTGCACAGCCTCGGGTGTCTGTTTCCCACTCATTTCCATTTCAAAAAGGTAACTGACCGTTGGTGACAAAGGGCAGCTGATCAATCTGGAATACACAAGTCAAACAAATAGTTTAGTCTCTCAATAAAAACCTTCAGTGACTGCAGACATCAATAAGATCATGATGGCTCTTGGATATCTTTCTTTAAAGAGGATGTAATTTGACTAAAACATGCAAGCTGAGACTCTAGTGGGAAGAATGCACAGCACCACCCATGCATAGCACTGCAATTTATATAATAATTATAGCCTTAAATATTGGATATGCTGATGTTTAAGATGGGTTTGGAGCAACACATTTTATTAAGATTATTTCATTTTAGGTTTTCTATTATTAGATTTTCTATTAGCCTAATTAAATCGTGGTGTTAATATTTTATAATGATTTATTTTCCTGTTATTTGAGGAGGCCCATACTGGCAGCCTGTGTCTTTAAGGAGCCATGTAAAGAGGGCGTGCTCACACGCAATACCGAACCAGGAGGCATTGTAGTGAGTAATAATTGCGCGTCAGGGCAGTAGTATCCTTTCTGAGGATGTGAGGGTACTCTCAGTAATGTTTCTATTAAAAACAGGGTGCCCGCTTTCTTACAGCATCGTTCAGGCTCTCAGAGGTCGATCCGAGCGTTTTGCGTCGCCTTTCTTTTCATGAATACGGCCACATTGTCAACCTGCTGGGGGCCCAGACGCAGAGCAGCGCCCGGCTTTTATGAATGGATGCTCGGTAAGTATGTGCGTCTTAATGTTTGTACTTGCATTGAAACTTCAGAGAAATTTAAAAATGTACCTTTACATTTGTATTGTGTGCATTTTAATAGTAGTTCAGATGAGCGTGGGGCGCACAAGGCAGCTGACGCCTTTGTGGTCAGCTGCTTATTGTTCGTTTGCAATTGACCCACCCTGAATCAGAGCTTTATTGTAATGCGCTAAAATGACTAAACACAAGATAAACCAAGTGGTACTAAATGTAAGTAGTCATTTTTTATACTTCTACATTTCTTTGTGGAGGCAATTGTCGCGAGAATATTGGTGATTTGTCTGAAGCGCCTCAGAAACGATTTTTAAGATATTAGCTCATTTGGGAAGGCAGTGAAGTTAAATTTGATACACAGTGTTTCTTCTTTTTAATTTATGGCTGTTCACCGAAGGAAAGCTCTGACAGGCCTCATTCAAGAACGGAAATGCAGCTTCAAAATTAGGCCACAGTCTAAACTGTGCCACTTTGTATTGGCAGTAGATGTTGACTGAACGTGTTGTACATATGCAAATGCATATTTTTGCTGTGCTGATATTTTGCCAACTTATTCTAAACTGGGTGAAGTGTATGTTTGGGCAATAGAGGAAGTGAATGGAGTTGCCACACTGGCTTGGTGTTGGATGTGGGTTTTGCGTTATATGTCTAAAACACACCTAATTGCACTTTTGCAACAAGTAAAACATTTATCCTGTTTGTTCAGGTCATATAGAGCCTGATGACCTGGCAGCCCTGTTTAGTTTCCTAACTGCTACGTCACCATGGCATCTGATGAGTTCATTGACTAGGATAATGAGGTGATGAGCCTCAGGTCTTTAGGGCGTTACTCCATCATTGCCATACTGATAAGAACTTCTCCCAGTGATTGTTTGAGGAGATAATGTTATCCGAGGTTTGTGCTTGTGAGGCAAACTGGGTGGCCTTCTTTATTTAAATAAGTTTAAATGTAACATTTGATATGTTTTATTCAAAACGTGCGATACTGTGCTGCCCAAATGTTGTGATATATTTAGGTCAATGACAACTTGGCAAACAAGCAACCCTCCTTTGCATGATTTACATTTCATACACCTGACTTCTGTAATTTTTCTTAAAAGTGCCACTGAAGTCTTCCAGGACAGGCAACACTTTCTTTTTAACCAGCCTGCTAAGGTTCTGCTCCTTCTACTTTCCTCTGTTTCTTAAATTTCAACACATCTTTTTGCCTGCAGGAAACATGTGTTTAGTGTCTGAAGGTGAAAGTTATCCGTCCTCTGTGTGGTGTTAGACACTGTGCCAAACACTGTGTTAGTGGGGACGGCATAAACAGTATTTTTTGGATCATAGCCCAGGAAACAGAACCTGCTCAGAAATGTGCTTGCACAAGTGAGCAAGTGTGAGTGTTATATATTCATTATGGAAATAATTAGCATCTCAATGTCTGTGGTGGTGTTGAAGTGCAGCTTTAGTGGTTTTGTGTGTGTGTCCAGTCCAGCCCTTCGCATTCCAGGAAATACCACCATAAATGGTTATTTTTATATTTATCTATAAAGA